TTTTTCTTTTTCCCCAAGTTGAAACATTTAACATTTTGAGAGGTTTCAAGTTCTAATGTGCTTTAATTTTTAACGTTTTTAATACTTTTCGCTCATTCTGGAAATGCAAACATCTCGTCATAATTCCATTACTTAAATGTTGTTATTTTTAATTATTGCAGCACCATACTCTGTATTATACCAATATCATATTTAAAATTGTTTTCAGTTACACTATGAAGGCTAAAATAACTTGCAATTAACAGCAACATCTGTGCCTGCTGTGTTGATCAGAAACAGAGGGACAGCTTCATCTGATAATCTTCACGTTTGTGGAAATTCACTTAGTGTAAAGACAGTTCTGGCTCTTGTTTTGTGGTAACTGTGCAAACTGCATGTTTCAAAAGCAAATAAGCAAACATGTATATTAGAAAACTGTAAAGTAAAAAAAGCATTCTTAAATAATAATAATGAAAATTAAAAATTATTTATATGATATATTTAATCATTTGTAAAATATTCAGAATTTGGAATAAGAAGAGTGTGCATTAAATTGCAGTAGCGGTGAGAGCACATTGCTGTAGATTAATACAGATTAATTTATATATGCTGAGCACCTTAAATACATGGGACTGCATGAACCAGTCATTTCTTGTCCACTATAGGCACTGATGGAACAAAAGCTGCAACCGAACTGCATAACTGTGAGAAAGTCTGGAGGTTTTTGTTATTTTTTGTGGTTAAAACTATTCTCTCATTTTATCCTGTGCATCGGTGAACTAATTTTTCCCTGCAGCTGTTCCAGGGCTGGTTTGCAGGTGTGATGCGGCACACACCGTGCCTATTTTAAAGAAAAAGCATTAATGCGGCTGTCAGCTCACTATAATTGGGGCATTACATTTGCTTTTTGCTTAAATTTAAATAGTGACTTTTGAAATTTTATGTACAACCACAGCCTGATACTTATTACACATTTCTACCAAAATCACAATAGTTTCATGCTGACCAACTATACTGTTATTTGAAAAGAAAAACCTGACAACATTAATAAATATTTGTGATTAAAATTATTACATTATTCTCATGCATTTTTAGAGTTTTAGTCTTTAAAATGCACTTTAACATAGGTTTTATGAATATTTTCAATAGAAAACTAGAAATTTCTTGTTATTAAATGGAGAACAGAAAAAAACACAGCAGCAAGTATTTTTTATATAAATTTATATTTGAATACATGAGCTTTTCAGTTCACAGCATGCACGTCCAGTTATTCATTTGAAAAGCCGTTTTTCAATTCTCCGTTTCTTGCCATTATAATACATCTTCGTCTCTCTCGTTTTCTCTCACACGCAGCCAGGCTTAATTGAGGGCATACGCCCAGTGTCAGTTTTACTTAATGGGGGACACTCCTATTCCATTTTAAAAATGTTTATATACACATTTTATAACGATGATGTGAAATTAGGGAGTGGCATTTACAATACGATCTAAGTGTACTGAGCTATTTTTGGTTATCAGACAGTAGTAGCAAATGTAGTACAGTTACACTATGAAGTTTTAAATTACGAGAACAGTCTGGGGTAAATCCCAAAAACGATTAATTTAATCTCTCGGTTGTATTTTTCACTCACATCTTCTTTGTAATCCGTTATGCCCGCAGACATTACAGGAAATTTATGCGCGCATATGTAACAAAGTTTAAATGTTTAGTAAGTTGCAGTGTACAGTAAATGAGCAATATTGTGATCTTATGCACTGCTGAATTTCCCCTTTACTGAATTGCCAGCCACCGACGCTCAGAATTAATCATGACGTAATTAATCCGCGAAAATGCCGCATGTTCTTTGTCTTTTTTGTTTTCCCTGAACTAGACAACTTTAGGTATTACAGCAATATAAGCAGACGTAAAATGACCGGATATATCATTGTTATCTAGTGATACTGCATTTGGTTAGTGTATGTGTAGAATAAACCGGTGCACTGAAAAAAGTCTTTTATTTTTTTTACAATTTTATTTTGCACCACATCTGTTCTTCTTACTTTGTTAAAATGACGCCGTGTCATTCAACCCGAGATGTCCATATATGAAATAGATGCGCTCAATTTTTTTCCCGTTTTTGTTGGAGGCGTAACATATGGCACACTTTTTTCTGTGACTCTTAAAACATCTGTTGTCCCAGAAATGTCATTAAATATGAAAAAACGCCAATTCAAAGCCCCCGGCGCGTCCATTAAAAGTACCCTACAACAACAGGACAGATTCGAGCGTCTGCTTTTGTATGAAGAATGACTTACACGCGCGTCTTAAAACTTTAATGCACTTCTGAATAAAAAACTCGTGACTTCGTTCAATAAGGATTTTCAAAATGAAATAAATGGCTTCCAACTTCACTGTTTGTTCTGTTCATACAGTAACCACGTGTGCAGGAAACGCCCGTGTTTGGTTTCTAAGAACTGGACAAAATGAACGTGCCTGTTGCATTCATGTTATTAGATGCATAGCCATATTTACTATGGAATGGATCGAAATGGATCAGGTTTACGGAATTTTAAGTGGCACTTACGATTTTTATATTTTTGCGTGCTTTGGCGGAAAGGGTGGGCGTTTGAGGCAATCTGCTTTTGAGCTATCTATAGACAACCTGTACAGCAACTAGCGAGAAAGTTCATTGAAACAAGTGGGCAACTTTCTTGTAAACATATCCGACAACTAGCTCCAAAAAATCCCAGGAAATGTTTTGATATGCAAATTAAATCGGATAAACTGTTAAGTATTGTAAGGTACTATATGTTTTAGTTGCGTTTGCAACCCATTTATTGCCTGTAAATTTTCAAATTCCGGCGGTGCTATTATTTTGAATATGTCAATTTTCTTATAGTGTCCCATCCAAAAAAGGTATAAAAACCTTGTATGTATATCGTTCTGCCTGGTTAATTGTCAGATGTCAGTAAATAAGGGGGCGGAGTGGTAATTTTACGTATCTACACTGTAATTCCTAGTACAAACTGGCATTTCAGATATCTCTAATTCCATTCTTACCAGTACACATGAGCATTTGAGACGTTCGTAATTCAGTTCTTAATAGCAGGAATGACGTCACTTTTCCCATTCATATGTACTGCGGTTTTCATTTGAGATGGCAGCAATTCCATTTCAGATATCTCAAATGCAAATTCTAGATACGCAATTTGAAATTACATTGGTACTAGTAACAATTCTCTTTTTTGATGTCTGCAATAGAATTATTACAAGTCAAAATGTCTGTTTTAGATATCCAAAATGCAAACTGGTTTAAGATATCTATAATGTACTTATAGACTTCACTTTCAGCAGATAACCACAATTAATTTATAATATTGATAAATGGGAAAAGTGACGTCATTCATACCAGTAAGAAGTTAATTAGCCTACAGATGACCGAAATGCTCATTTTAACTCGATCGTAAGAATTGAATGAGGGATATCTGAAAGGTCAGTTTGTACTGGTAAGAATTACAATGCAGATATCCAAAATTATACTATCCCGCCTACTTATGTGATGTTAAAACGGCCACTTAAATTTGTTAAAGATTTGAAGATATGTTAAACAGAAATTTACCTGTGAGAGTCTAAGTTAAAGATATCTTCAAATACAGTAAGAACAGTTTTGGATATCTCTAAATTTCATTAGGACGCGTAAAATGCAATTCTTACTAGTAGAAACAGAATTCAGGATATGTAAAATACAATTACAGATAGGAAATATATGTGTTTAATGTTAGAACGGCTTGCCATACTCCTTTGCTTATATAGTGTGTAATGTATTTGATATCTTTGGAGTTTATTGATTGGCGGAGAGGGGGCCGTCCTGCGGCACAGGAGTAACAGCTTGTAGAGGCGCTGAAGAGAAATCTGCCCAGTAACAATCAGCATGGACTCCATTGGCCTCAGCAGTGCGCAGCAGATCTATTGGCCGCCAGGGGAAGGAAACTATCTAGAAAAAAATCGACATTTTACACTCGTATCTGTTGCGGAAAGGTTCGGTCACTTGTGTTGATGGCGAGCGACAGCTCTGATCGTGGTCTTTGCACTTAAAGTAGGCGGGACAGACTGCTTGCGAACTGACAGGGGCCTGACTACACTATTTGTTTGACAAACATGTTAATCGATAATTAAAAAACTGTGCACGACAGCGCGTGCACTACGTTTGGTATTTAAGCGTTCTGCTTTTAAGTAGGCCTATGTGTAATTGATGTTAGCACATTTTAATGGGATATTGTTATTTATGTAGGCGTTTACTTTTTTTGACGCTTTGGAGAATACACTCATGGATTACTGTTGAAACGTTGAAAGGCTTGGTATAACAAATGGTCAGCCCGGTACTTCTCTGATCATTTCTGATGAAACTTTCAGCTGTAAGTTTTTAATGCACGGCCCCTGTGTTCCCTTACTAACGCAGACGAGTGTCTGAGTCTTTTCTCGGAGCTGCGTATTGTAGAAAACGATGTTCCTCTGACCGCAGGTTGCTATATAAAACATAGGTTTGGTTAGAACTCTTTGTGCTGGGGGTGGTAAAAACCTAAGTAGGAACTTAAGCGGGCATAGCATGGTCATGTCAGAATGTCCTTTAATCAGCAGATGCCTTATGATGTCACAAGTAAGTATAATGGAGAATAGGGTTGATGGAAAAAAATGGGGTATCATCAGATATGTGCGTACTTGAAAGCAGTTTTCACGCTTCCACCATTCTATAACTTGTCAGTGTAGGGAAATCCCCACCCCCACTTCAAACAGACATACATATAAACCCTGAAATTCAGAAGTCCGCTGTTTTCGGTGCAGATAGCCTAAATCGTGCACATGGCAGCGCGTATGTGATTCCTTTATGACTCTTTTGTTAAATTATACTGTAATGCAGACTGTTCCCAGTGAATACATAACTTTACTCCAATGTCGTGTATGTACGCATTTGCTGTATCTGTGTGTGTGTGTGTGTGTGGGGGGGGGGGGGGGTGCCTGAGGGTGGTCGCAGTTAAAAGTAATATTTATACACCGCGGAAAAATTCATAGTTGCACAAGACGTATGGTATTCTGGGTCTGCATTAATGCACTAAATCATAATATGGACGAATATGAATTGGAGTTGCGAGACGTCTGATGTGTGCGCGCGGTGTTTGGCAAACTGCTCTGCGTAATAAGCTTACGTCACTTTTTCGGGGACCTCATATGAAGTCCGAGAGCGCAGAAGAAAGTTCAGAAGGGGAGGCAGGACTACCTTGGATAGCCCTGCAGTCTCACTTATGGTTCTAAAAAGCCTGCGCTTCCAGCTTTCGTATTCTTTTTCCAGTTGTTGTTATATACTTCAAGACTGATTGTATTTGACAAGGAAATAACCGAGACAAACATGGAACTTCTTTGCCTCGAGGTGGACAATATCATAAGAGCCAGTCCCGATCCGAACCTTCTTTACGATGACAGGGTTTTACAGAGCCTGTTAACCATTGAGGAAAGGTTTATACCCCAATACTCGTATTTTAAATGCGTACAGAGGGACATTCAGCCATATATGAGGCGGATGGTTGCAACTTGGATGCTGGAGGTTTGTACCGATAGTACTTTTAAATATACTTGCTCTGCTTTCCTTTCCTTTAAAGCATTACAAACTAACTTTTCTCGCTCATTCGGCTAGACTTACTGTATTTCACCTCGTGGAAAAACCGAATGCCTTTCAGCCAGATCGCAACTACACGTTGCCGATGTCGTGTTTCTGTGGTAATTATTTCAGATTTCGGAAGTCATGCTTGTGTCTCAGATAACGTGGAAATGGTGAGAATCGTTCAAGTAAACGGTGTGTGCGTTTTTAGACAACTGCTACCTTGCAAAAAAGAGATTTAATTGTTAAATATAATGTCCATGCACACGTATGCGGCGCCTCCATTCTATAATGTAGGCTAATCCTAACGCCATGTTGGCTTCTTAGGCTGTGGTAGTGATTGTACTAAGACTAAATGGTCTCTTAAAACGTATTAACAGGCATTCTAAGAATCAGTTTTGAACAAAATAGCATTTATACAACAAAACCTAGTTAAACTGGATTCTGGAACCGTAATATGTGTCTTACATTTTCTTTTACAAAGTGACCGTTCACGGAAGAGACAGGGCCGAAGTATTCTTCCACTTTCTGTGCACGAATCTGTCTCCAAAGAATTAAATTCGTTAATTGAAAACCCCTTGGACATTTCCAGTTGTGAACGGTCGGAAAATAAAGTAGACAATTTAAGCTTTATTTTCATGTTTAAATTGTTCACTTAAATTCTTCGTGAGACTAAAAATAATTTTTCAAAATAATTTCTTTTAGATCGGAGGTGACGTAGTCGTCTGAAACGGATAACCAGTCACTTTTAATTTGTGTATTTTTTACGTAAAACCTAGGTTTACATTCGTATCAATTGTCGGGAATGATGTTAAAAGGTCTGAAGAACATTTTAAGGTAAAAATCTCGCTCCTAGATAATTTTTTTATATTTTTAAATATTTTATGAAAATATGACGGATTTAAAAAGGTTCCCTTACAGTGCTGCCTGCTTTTTGGCTGGGTGATTGTGACTTGAATTCTGTTCCTAGTGAATCAACTGATGGAATGCGAGTCTTTTGACATTTTGTGTTTAATACGATTTCTAGCTCAAAAAATCTTTTGTAAACTGAATTATATTAGGCTGGATAGAGCAAGTTCAGTAGGCTACATATGTTGTGGTTTTTATAGCATGCCCGCAACTTCGTTTCTTTCACCTTTTTCTTTGGTGTTTTAATAAAAGCTTTGAAGTCGTTTAATATGAATATGGTTTATGTGTTTAACCCTTAAACAAATCCTGTCGAGGCGGAACGTGCCACTTTGCATTGCATTTAATGCACTGGTGCCTTTCCGCAGGTTTGCGAAGAGCAGAAGTGCGAAGAGGAAGTCTTTCCTTTGGCGATGAACTACTTGGACAGATATTTATCCGTGCAGGCGACGAAAAAGTGTCATCTGCAGCTGCTGGGAGCGGTGTGCATGTTCCTTGCGTCAAAATTAAAAGAGACGCGTCCATTAACCGCAGAAAAACTGTGCATCTACACTGATAATTCCATCAAAACGCAAGAGCTCCTGGTAAGAAACAGCCGTTTCTGCGGGAAAAAAACGAGGTAGACTGAATAATGGTACGGTGATTGTTATATATATTTATTAGAGCAGGATTGATAGTTTATATATCATTTTAAATTAATATATATGGACGGTAATGCAGAGTCCATGTATATTAATGCAAGTCGTGTTCCAAGCTGTTTTAGGATAATTATTATTTATTTTGTAAGAGCGGTATATGGAACCTTTGTCTGTTCTGTGCATCGGTATACGTCTTAAGTAACGCACGGTAAATTGCCATTTAAGAATTGAAGTACATTATTAGCCTGCAACATGCCTGAGACATTGCACACAGTAAATAGGAATCCTATCCCGTGAGTCATTCTTTGTAAAAACAGTCTCTATTGCCACCTAGGGGTAGATATTTGAGGTGGCAGTGAGATGTCTTGAAGACATTGGTTCTGGGGTGTGAAGGTAAAGATATCCATGCAATTAAACAATAATATATGTACTATCTTGATATTAGATAAATTAGTGTTTCTTTGGATTATATGAATTATATGAATATATATGAATTATCTAATGTCTTAAATTAGCAGAAACCCCCTTAAAAGTTAGTTCAAAGTTGGGAACTCTGTACCTGTTGAAGATCCATATATATTAGGCAGCAAAAATAAGTGGATGTTACTGTTGCCACGGCTGGTTTGAGAAGTTGTATGTTTCTCTCAAATAATGTGATGGTTATTGATCTTTAGTTATTGGTCATAGAGCAGAAACCTGGTTAGTTCCTCATGAGTTCCTCCACCCCCATAAAGATGCATCAAAACTGCGGTTCGGACAGTAGAATTCACACCTTCAAATTCCTTATGTGATGGTGATGGTGTGTAATGACGTGTATTTTTTTGTCTGCAGGAAGGGCTTTTCCATTCATTTGTGCTGTATGTACCTTTCTCTTAAGGGTTTTTTTTGCATGTGACAGCTGTGGAAGCAACGATTAACACCAATCATTGTGGGTTTGGGGAGGGGGAGATAGATGGGGTTTTACCCCAGGCAGCTGTACTGCAAGCTGGCAATTCAATGACCCCCCCC